TATATATATATATAGAGAGAGAGAGAGTTTGAGTGAGTGAGTCATGGATACTTGTTGATGGTATTAAAATGATTTATGTACTGAGTCAAAGCAGTAGCTATTCTTCCTGGGTTCTTAACAATTTTAACAGATATTAAATCAAAGCTGTGTAACAATGAAGCCAAATACAGAAGTATACACACAAAACTATACAACTTCTATATATAACATACACACAGATACACATAACAATATAGTGTGAGCTCTTTTATGTACAAAACATTACCACTCTCTGGGTATTAGGTAAATTACAAAACATTTCAGTTACTAGTGCTCGTTGTGAAGGACTTAAATCTGTAAATGTTACTGTTGAGCCTGATTTATGCTCAGAAACCAGGTCGTCTGCGTGTGTCGCAGTGAATGCAGATATGCCCCGCCCCCCGCCGCAGACACTCTGCTGCTCCTCTCCAAAAGTGTAGGTGGCCGCAGACGGGAGGCCTCTGATTGGTCAGATCTCCATCCGCTCTACACTATGCGTATTTCCTGTTTGTTTCCATACTGCCTAGTTTTGTTTGTCTGACCGCCATTGTGGAAAACGACTGAAGATGGAGCAGCTAGAAGAGCGAAAACGCTGGGACCCTTTTTCCACCTGGATCCCCGCTTGTTTTGGCCCTCATGTCCCTCCGTTGTCGGACAAACACCGCCTCGGCCGTATCTAGACCCACAGCTAGTTCCTGATTGGTCCTCTGGCGTTGTGGCGTGGATTAACATAGCGCAGACCACGCTTCAATATTGGGCAGAAATCAAAAATATCTGCGACACATTGCAGCAGGAGGAGAACCAGGCCTTTACTCCAAAGTAAATAAAGTTTAAGCCTTTTGGAAAAGCTAACATCGTACATCCCTGAAACCAAGGGATGTACGATGCTATGGCGGGAGTGGGTTCCACGCCGCCATCGCTCTATAGCACCATGTTCTCTGAAGTTTATTTGGTTGACAGGGAGGTAATAAAAAAACGTCTTTCACTTGATTGGCTAATGGAATAATTATGAACGTCATCAAAAAAAGTCAAATCTATTATAAGTAATTTCAGGTTCTTTTGTAATAATTACATTTTAGGCGCATCAGATGGTGTCCTACTGGACATGTTACTGTAAATATTCATCCCTGCAGCCACATATTTAATCCACATCAGTGATCCACACAGTTCCTCTGATATTTTGGCAGCTTTTTCCATCCAGCCATGTGCTGCTGCCTACTCTAATAAAATCCTCAGCCCTGTTGTCCCGCCCTCAGCAGGTCCAGTGGCTCCTCCTGGTGCCAGAGATCATGTAGCAACGTTTTGCAAGCAGTTGGTGGAGGATGAGGATTTAATTAAAGCCGGTAGAGCCTCTTTGTGGCCTCATCTTGGGCCTCAGAGTTTACTTCCCACTGGTTTGATTTTTCACGTCATTTTTAAGTTTTATTTCATCCGTGATTTCCTGTCAGGCCTCCTGTGGGACGATGGTCTTTGTTTTCATTAAATGCTATGATGTCCTTTGTGATATCAAGTTAGAATTTTGATGCATTTTATTGTTTGGAGTTGCTTTTATTAGATGTAGACACATTTTATTGTCATTTTATATACAGAGTGTATACAAAACAAAATTTCGATGAATACAACTTTTTAACAGTGAATGAGCAGCTTAGCAGTGAAATGAACATTTCCATTTACAAAGTGCAACAGAGGTTAGAATGTAAACATTGTGGGAGAGAAGGAAACCAGTTAAACCCTTTATAGGGCGAGTTAGCGTTTTTTAACCCTTGCATACCCTTTACTAATGGACCAGTGGAAGGTTCAGTGCAGTGGAAAATAAATAAATATGCTGCAAAATGCAGTAGAAACACAGAGGGATTTAAAGATTCGCCATGTAGTGCAAATATGATGATATCAGTTTGATGTAGAGTTCCGATTTGTGGCTTGGTTAGTGTTTGAACAGTTCATCAGTGTGATGGCGGTGGGGAAGAAGCTGTTGCAGAACCTGCTGGTCCTGCATTGAATGCTGTGAAGCCTCTTTCCAGAGGGCAGCAGGGAGAACAGTCCATGGTGGGGGGGGTGTCTTCCTTTAATCATGTACAAACAAACAATTAAATGACTTACTTTAAAGGAATAGTACACCTAAAACATGATTAGCCTTCATTTTCTACTCACCCCCATGCTGAACAACACTCTGGAGTACTTTTTTGATATCTCAAATGCATCTGGAGATCTGGGAGGCTTCTTGCTGTCTGCTGACATTCAAATAATGGAGGTCTATGGCGCCCG